AATCTTCGTTGGTCTACACATATTTACAACTGTGTGGGAAAACTGAGACGCCTATATTTTCAGTTACGCAAACTCAGGCAACTCCGAACCCCACAATCAGTCCTGTCATCTTTCGTTCATCAATGCATTTTACCCATTCTATTTTATTGCTCTCCTGTAGTGTTTCCAGGTCTTTTAAAACACGACTTCAAAACAATTCGCCGGGGTTTGCTGATAATCAGTCGTGCATCACTAATCCTAATTGATTTAATAATCACAGATCTCATTGATAGTCACATCAACTCTTGTTTTAAATTTGCTCACAAGATTCTAGATGATCCTCTTCATCCACTACACTCTGATCTACCGTCTTGTCGTTCCCATCCGTCCACACGCTCCTCATTTCGACAGCTACCCTCTCGCATAACATTTACAAAAAATTCCCTGTATCATACTTGGCCCGACTACTCACCAAAAGGAACAGGTCTCAAATGAACTACGTCAAATGCTTTGTACATGATACGTATATCACCGACCTTCTTTACCTTTTGTTTTGATTATTTTTGTTTCATTTTCAACTGAAATGTAAGCATATATGCTTACACAAGTTAAAAATACAATACAATACGTTTATCAAATCTTTTGTTTCAATTTTTTATTCATCGGACATGGATTTATATATTCAGCTTTCAAGAATAAAACCGTCACTAAACTAAGGCTGCCAGGAGAAATGCACCAATGAGAAGTGAGACAGGCAGCGGCGGAATTGGAACACATGACTGTCGAGCATGACTTCAACTACCTGTTTACCACCATCACAAAGTAATTAATTTTAATCAACCTCACAACAGGAGATGTTTTATGGTAAATCATGATGATGATAAGTCGTATGGAGCATTCGGCCAACATTTTGAGTAGACGTAAAACAGCAAAAGGAACACAAACAGCACTTCATTTACCTCCAAAATGAAATCACCCGATTTTAAGCCTGCACGATCAGCAGCACTCCCCGCTTCTACCTTCTCCAAATATTGTAATGCTGGTACTTCTAATGTGGGTTGAAATTCTCCTGGAACACCTGGTATCAAGGGTAGAATAGAAAGCAGAACAAAATTGTTGGGATTACAACAAAGATAGGTTTCCTGAATCCATGCACAACCCGTTCCGTAAAATGTTTTCTTTGTGGGAACGGATTGAAGCAACTACTCATTGTCATAGTTACAGTTCCTACAAATCCCCCTCTTGTGCCTTCTTCTTCCACTCCGGACACTTTCGCGAATAAAACGCATTTGAGCCCAGTCACTCTCGTCATGGGTTATCAATCTTAAGAGCTACTAACCGTCAGATTATGAAGAATCACCTTGTTGTCAAATACGATTGATTGATGTCACTCTGAGAAGTGGTTAAGTACACGCATTAAGGAAAAAGAATAAGATTCATCGAAACAAAATCGATATTTGTAGTGGGTTTAACTCCTGCTCGATCGACTTTAGGCGTGACCTGAGAAATAACAATCTATATGGTATGCAGAATGTGCTCTTATCGGAAGACGTTTTGATGTTGATCGTGAATAGCAAAGAGTGAATATCTCGCTATCTTGCAATTTTATTCAACTTATATCAACACAGTCTATCCTCAGTCAAGTGTGAAATATAAGTATATAAATATAGTATCAACAAGAAAATTATTGGTAAATGGTACATTACTTGCGCACTGTGGTTTCCCGTTTTCTTTCATAGTTCGACTCGTAATACAGCATTATAAAAGAGCGATCTATGCGCATGTTCCGTTAACTCGTCAGAGAAGGGAAACATTGGGCTCCACTGCTGACCTTCTCCGGGAGGCTGTACTGAAGTCCAATCTCAATTAAGTCACTTGACCCAAACACCAACAGTGTATTATCAGTGTTCAACGTCCCGTCACTTCCAGTTCATTCATTCATCCAGCATTCATCGTAATTTTCCGACCCACCCCGGCCCGTTCCGTTTGCCTACCCGGTTCAATACTATCTCAACCATGGTGATGGAGAGCGAACGAGCGAACGATACTGGCAAGGCTAAATTGAGCCAATGTTTCCGTGGGCGTTTACACACTTCCCAACCTACCCGTGGTCTGACGGTTACGCCCAGTATGAGTCAGCTCAAAACCGGGCCTAGCCACAGCCGTATGCCTGTCCCTGCTGCCAACGCCCGTCGCATGCAGGATACAAGCACCTAGGTGAACGGATGCGCATGGTCAATCCGCATGGCACACGCGTGCACACGGTTTGAGAATCACTGACTCTCGTGTCCGTGTGCCCGTGTTTTAGATATTGTCCTACCGAACCCGTAACTGATTCTGCTTGAAGGTATCGAAGGCGTCTTGATAGTACATCAATACACTCAAAACCATATTCACACAGTACAGGTAAATGTGAAGCTAATCCTTATGAATGACGGTTGAACCCATACGCGTACATCGCTTATGGATAGATTGATAAAACAATGGCTGAAAAAATAACAGGTTATAAGTTCCTCGGTTAGGACATTGTATTGCAACANAACAGGTCAGCCTATTTTACGTCATCCTTGAGACAAAAATAGTAAAAATTGGCAGTTGATCACAAAAATGTTGTCATAACAGCGCGTCAATAATAATGTTCCTTTTTCAGGTTTTAGGGTCGGATCATGGTTTAAACTTGAGGTTGTGCTGGTGGTTATAGATTCCAGAAACAGTGTGATTCAAACACGTCTTGTTTCATGACAGTAGACATTAGGGAATAATGTTTGAATAAAAAGATATTTTTAATGTAAAAATCTTTGTAACTTTAGGGAATTGTAAAGTTATTTCAATCAACATGATGTTTGATAATGGAATTAAACCGTTCACAATAAATAATTATAAAGTGTTATCTTGAAGGAATCGACGCCATGTCCAAAGTCTTTATCATGAATACTAAAGAAATTAAGTCAGAAGCATTGTACGTCGTCCATTGTTGTCGTGAAGCCATATATGAATACCACTTAAATCACTATTGTACCGGCTCCTGTTCAAAAACTCACAAATTCCGTGCATGGGAAACGTTGCAGCCCATAAATGTATCGCAGAATGTTTTCATATGGTTTCCGTATGATGCATACTAGGGGCTTTGCCCCAAAGACACTGTGAACTGTGGAGTGGAATCAGTTACTACTATAATATGTCACAGACTGTGCACATTACCCGTAAATGCAATGCTTGAATCGTGTGTCTAACAGTCCGCTGCTAGGACAATTACAGCCTGATCAATATTGTCCTTTCTAAGTAGCAGACGATATCCGTCGAATACATGAGCTGATCGCACTTGACAAAACCCTTAACCGGATTCAAAGAGTTGTGAAATCGTAAAACATTTGATATTGGTTTACCTACTTTCAACACAAGAATGCGCTTTCGTCAAATTTGTGTCGGGAAACAGAGATCACAGGCTAGAATCAAGTTGATTCTAGGGAAACGTGGCCAAAATACTCTGTTTAAGTATCGAATAGTTTGTTTCAAGTAATTGACCAAGCAATCGAAATTTGAAAAGAGTATGACTTCCGATGGTTTTCAGCAGTTTACTTGACAGAATATACTAGTGTACAAAGGTGCAAGCAGAATTTATATGGATTATCAAAGCGTCTAATATTTAGAATACTGACGACCCATCTGCTATCAGAAACGTAGAAACTTTATAGTTTATGGTACACCCGTGGGTACCTATTATTAAAGGGATTAAACATGTTCAGTTCAGAAGAATAACACGGTTCATTCGTGAATGAAAATGGATGTGTAATATGTGACTCACCCCGTCGCCCACGAACCACAAACCCGAATCCTCGCGGCCCTTTCTGCAGCACAACTACTCGAGGCAAATTGGTGGTGTCCAAATCTCTGTAATTAAACGGAGGTGAGGATTAATGTGCATGAGAAAGAAGACATGATAAAGCGTTCATCAAAATCATTTTCACCCGGTTCACTTTAGTAGATTGTGCTTGAAAAAAGAGTAGATGTGCACCTTTGGTGGATCAGACATCCTCATCCTGAGAAGCACCAACTTACTTTCTCTATTAAATGACTGTCAGGAATTTTCACTCTCTCATGTGGATGCAATGAACCATGTGTCAAACATCAGATGAAATCTAGTCAAGATCGCTCTCTCTCTTGCCAATCATCATTATGATTCCCTGGTCTTGGATCCTTTACCTCACCACTTCATGTCTGTGAACAAGATTGTCAGACATCATTGCATGTACGTGCCAGCTATCAACTGAAAGGTGTGGACAAGTCTTACGATTCGTATCGGGCAGAAATTGATGCGTAACACAATGTCAAAAGTGATGCAGCGAATCCTAGTATTGCACCTATTACCCAACAGAATGCTCGGATACTATTGTATAAACTGCTGAGTCGAATGCTCGTTAGGTGGTATTAGTATATTTTTCACAGTTGAAAGGAAATTACTCGGTCGTCTCCTGCCTCCCAGCGGAACCTTAGTGTAAAATTTAGGGATGCAGCGTGCATATATATATATATATATATATATATATATGTGCATGTGCATATACGTAAACAATTTCAGAGAAATATTCCTCATGCGGAGTTTGGTGAACTTTCAGGGTAGCATTTCGCTCTCAGCACTCACGTAACGGTTCAACATTCATACAACGGTCTTATTCAACCGTAATTGTCATATTGGTAGGCTAGTTCATGGCACATATCTAGCTGTGCAGAGATGTTTATTTGATTCTTTTCGAACTCCAGGAGTAAATCAGGAGACGGTTCGTCATTTTCCCAAACATAGTTCAGTAGACAGAAAAACCCTCGTTTTTAATTTGTCTTCAAAAACCATGTATACTCGTTCATAAATATACAGTTAAAGTCAGTTTGAACAAGTTGCACATCGTACGAAAGATAGTTACGCGTACATTTTTTAATGCTCAACTCACGAAATACCCCCAAATTTAAATTAGAAAAAATCTCCAAGATGACTCCAACATCTACGTTATTTTGACTTTATACGACAGAAATTCTTATTCCTATTGTTCATATACTTATCCCTCTATAAATGCGTCATTCTCTCACGAATATCGTGAAATCCTCGACAGATTTAAAGTAACTCAATACTGTAGTAGCTGGATCAGTTTTGTTTGCTCCAGCTTAGTTTTACTGGATGCAGTTGGCACATTCACGCAACTCAAACGGATGATAAAACTAATTAATTTGTTTTTACTATGCCAACCGATCAGTAACGAAGTATCACAGAATCTTAGTAGGAAAGAAAAATAGTTCGTGTTGAGCGGTTCATATCACTTATCGTTCTTAGACGTTGGTTGTTGAAAATAGGCTTCTGGGGAAAGTTATCGAGTGTGTGAGTACATATTCTAAGCCTCACTTTGCTGCCTTTCAGCAATAAGAACTTCCACTAATCCGTTCATTTCAAGAGGTTGAACGGAATCTACATATGACTTGATTAATCTCGTAATATTTTGCTATCTCAAGCACATGCACTAAGACTCAAAGCTTTGTGTCATTTCCCAACGAGGAAGCATCGCTAGTGCGTACCAATAAGGACAAAATCTGTTCCGTGCTCGCCCAGTCGGAATCGCAACAAACCATCAGTGACAGAATCCATACGCCATTTACACTTCCACGTGACCATAGGGTTCTTTCCTTCTGCTTCTCATCACACAAAATGTGCATATTTTGGAAAGAAAACAAGGTAGCCACCAAGACTTGCTTTTCGTGATTCATCTTCATTGGCTAATGTGTCACAATTTGTATAACTATGAATAAATACAGGAGGGCGAAGATATTGCTTGCAAAAATGGTAATAAAAAACTATTGTATTGTATTGTGTATAACTTTTGCAAGCGCTGGAGCTCACATTTCAGTTAAAAAATCATACACGGTAACCGTCACAATGTACATAATCAACGGGGAGAAAAGCTTTTACAGGCATGGGGACATTTCATAATCTAAGGTTAAGATAAAGTTCACTTATTGTCCGCTCTTTGTTTATGAGTACACGAGCAAGATACGCTATGGGTGAGTTGCGGTAAGCGTTTATTCGAGATGAAATTTGGCGGAACTGGGAGCGTGTTGAATGATGGGAACGACATCATATCAGTTCTGCGTGCAATGGGTGGTCAGGATCTGTGAGAATAATCTCGGCAAATTTCACACAGGGAGTTACGTGATACTCTGAAAGCTTTACAGCTAATTCATTCACAGGAATGGAAGAGACACGACTAATAATGGTTAGACCGCGAAGTAAGACTTTGAAATCCTGTTTGAGCAAACCAGGAAAAATAACCGAGGAACAGTAGAGTAAGATGGTATAAATAACTGAATGGTGCACGAAACTGCCTGAGCTTTCGTATTTGAAATGATAGGCGCCGCAG